AATGTCTCCATATTGGAGTAGAACTATGATTTGTTAATAAATTTATAGAAAAGACTACATTAGGTCGAGTATTATTAGCAAGATATATCAATGCATAAGTGACACTAAGATATGGTACTTCAAGACCAAATAGTTCTTCATTGTCTTCTCGGGGTTGAAAAGGGTCTTTTTGGATATCAAATGAATGAACTACCATTGGGCTAGTCATTGTATGATCTTTATATAGAATAATTGTAGAACTTTTTCTATATAAATTGAATAATGAATAAAAATATCATTCTTTAAGTTCTCAAACTATAAGTCAAGATAAAAAAAAATTTCCTAAGGTATTCATATCAAATTCTCCTTTTAGGTCATTTATTACACTTTAAATCTCTTCGAAGTTCCAATAATATTTAAATCATCAACATATATAATAATCACCACAAACCTTTTTTTGAATTCCTGTATAAAAATACATAAATAAATAAGGATATTTTTATAACATTCATTCAACATATATTTATTGAGGTGATTATACCACATGCATACATATTAATAATAAAAATAGATAGTAAAATAAATAAATAAATATCAACGAGTATAACATAAATTGAAATTTTAAAAACTAGAATAATAAAAAAAATACTAAAATAATTCGATAGAGAGATAGAATTTAATTGAATTCATTTCTTGAGAATATGTATTTCATGATTCGGATATCTTAATGTCCTTCTAGGACTTTCATATAGAAATCATTTTCAACCGAATAAATAAGTTGTGATCACATCCATTAAATGCATACATATGAAATTTTTCATATATTTTGTTAGACTAATGAGATAACAAAATATAATTGCATCCATTATAGGAGAATATATCTCCTCATAGACAATGTTAAGTCTTTGCAAAATCTCTTGTGTTAAAAGTCTTGCTCCGTATCGTATAATCTCATCTTCCTTATTCCGTTTTTACATAAATACACATTTGCATTCTATTAGCTTAACATCTTTAGGTATTTTGACTATGAGTTTAAAAACTACTCATTTGTAATGACTATGAGTTTAAAAACTACTCATTTGTAAGAAAATGTAATTACATCCGGATTACTTTTTTCATTTAGGTCAATCATCTCTATGTCTACATTCTTCAATAGATTGAGGCTCGGGATCATTATTTTCATTCAAAATATCAATTACAACATTATATACAAAAATATTATCAATAAATATTTCTTTTCGGTCTTATTTTCTTCCTGTATTGACATAATTTATCAAAGTCCCTTGACTTTTCTCAAGTATTTGGGCTTCTTCCGAAGCCTATTATCGAAATATCTTGGATCATTTTATAAATATTTACATCCTTTATTTTAATTCTTTTTCCTTTTCCTTTAGGGATTTTTGCTTTTAAAACCGATCAGTTTTTCACGCTTCGGACGTGCTTTAGATTTATTTGCTATAATATTAATAGATTGTCCTTCTAGGACATCAATTCTAATTGGAGCATTCTCAACAAGGACATGCATTTTAGTTACTCATTTAGGATTTGAGAATGCATCCGGCGATTGGTTTGCAATACCTTATAAATGAATTATCTTTTAAACTTTTAGTTCTCATTATTTTATACAAGGATCAAGATGATATAAGATAGAGTACTCCATATAATATTTTTTTTCAATATTTTCAATTGCTTATTTTGCTTATTCTCTCCACCTAATATTGAAAAAACTATTTCATCAAAATGATCATTGATAAATTGAGTTGTAAAAATATCTCTTATTCATGATTCAAGATATTAAATTATCAAAGAGAATTCAAATCCAACATATATCCTCAATCTCCTTTCAGTGCCCATTTTATTTTGTTATAGAGGAGCATTGCGGATATATACTCGAAATGCCAAAAATTCTTAAATAAGAAATATTTGACTCATAACCATAAACCAACCGAAGGGGAAGAATTTTTGATAACTTATGGGTTTGATGCAAATAAGTATTACTCGTATATAAGATTGTATGTCCCGAAACATAAATAGAGAGTTTTGTTTTTAAATAATGGTTTAACTATCAATTGGAGCCTTTTGATAAATGATTTTGCTAAACCTTTCGAGCATAAACATGAGCAATAGGATGTTCAACCTTTATTCTAATAGCCAATCAATAATCATTTAATGCTTAGAAGATAAATTCATGAGTATTATTAAGGTGAATTTTTTTTAATGGCATAATTGAAAAATTATGCTTGTAATCTAATTATTTGGGCTAACAATCTCAAAAATGTCAAGTTTCGAGTAGATAATAAATATACATATGACCATTTTATGGATGCATCAATTAAAACTATAAATATTTAAATGATCCACATGGTGGATGAATTGATCCATATATATCACCTTAAATACATTCTAAAAACACTAGAGATTCAATCTCAATTTTACTTTGTGAAGGCTTAATAATCAATTTATCTTGAGAACATGTAGAACATGAAATTTATTAAATTGAAGAATCTTCTAGCTCTTCAATAGATGTCCGTATGAATTTTTAATATATATATTGCCTCATGAAAGACCCATGATAAAATAATTGGTCATGCCACATAATAAAAGTATTTGAATTAGTAAATGTCTTGTTTACTACAATATTTATTTCAATCATTTCAATATTTATAATAAAGACCAAAAGCGAAAGCATGTAAAGTTTTTCAATACATATCGATAAAATAATTATACTATTTAAGAATTCAATATTTTTCATATTTGTTATCTTGATATGATATCTGTTTAGACGGATATATTTAAAACTTAATAAATTTCTATGAGACTTTAAAAAGAATAATACATCATTTATAATAAAATTTATCCATTCGGATAATAATATATTTGCTCTTCTAGAGCCTTTAAATTATGTCACTTCATGTAATAATATATCTCTTCTTCTAAAGTGTTCAAAATTTATCTCTTCGGGTAATAATATAGTCGCTCTTCTAGATCTTTGTGTTTGATTGATATTATCATATATAATATTAACATAAAATAAATAAATAAATGTATTCTTCATAAACATAACTAAATAAATACTAACGTAAATTTATATCATCTCTATGTAATAAAAAATATAAAACATCTTATTTATAAATAAAAAAAGCTAACAAGTTATTAATTTCAATTATCTTCATTTTTATATATATAATTGATCTCTATATTTTACTCTCTCTCTCTTTTCAATGTGGTTTGATAAAGCTCAATAAAGGGTTTTGATGTACGGCAAGTACATGACTAATGTTCATTCATGGCACATCTATAACATTAATTTTTAGAATGCCGACTTGATTCATTTTTATTGTTTTTCTTTTTTATAGTTTATCCATCTCCGGTGGTGATATAGATTGTTATGGTCATCACGATTATAATGATAATTATTTCGATCACGTTAATGGCTAGAACCATGCCTTCGTCCATACTCAAAATTATTATAAGTTGTCACATTCACTTCGGGGAATGGAGTAGATCCGATTAGATGGAATTTATTCTTTTTCATCAATAGCTTGTTATTTTATTTAGCTACGACCAGTATGAATCGATTCGAATATTTTTTTAACTCTTTTTCTCTATATGCTACCGTAGGAGCATATTCGAGACATGAAAAATGAATAATATTTACTCAGCATCAAACACTCATGATCTATTCTTGTCCAAAATCTCAAAGGCCACAAAATCAAGTTTTGTGAGATTTTATATCATAAAAATTTTATAATGCAAAGTATAATAATAATACTAGAAAATTAAAAAAATATATAATAAAAAAAATTTAAATAAAAAAATACAATAATAAAATTTAAAATTTTTAAATAATATATATTAAATTATTAGATTTTATATATTAAATTATTTAAGTTTTTCAAATGCATACTCTATGTGTCATTAGATTTAAAGTATATGATAAATTAAATATGTACCTCTTAGAGCATCTTCAATGCTCTCTTTATATTAAGATTTTTCTTTATAATAAAGAGGTTTGACTTAAATTCCATCTCCAATACTCTCTTTATCACAATCTCTATCTTTAAAATTAAGATACAAAATATCTTTGGCTCTCCAATACTAGAGAGTCCAAATGACTCTTTCTTATATTTCATTAATGAAAATTACTATTTTCTATGCCAATCGACCTCTTCACCAATAGTCTCTCCGAGTTTTATGAATTTTGTCAAAATAAAGAGTTAAAATAGATAGTAGCATTGGAGAAGGCATTTATCTTCAATCTATATAATTAATGGTACTCTCTATTTACATTAAAAATTCTAGCTAAAAGTAGAGAGCACCATTGGAGCTATTCTTAATGATTAAAATAATTTAAATCTTTTAGTAGAGCATTTGTGTTGAGAAATAATCCAATGATTGAAATAATAATTGTGTCTTTGGTCGATACATACCTTAAGGTCTATTATCTCGATTGATTAGAGTTCCATGCCGATAATATGTTAGAAAAGAAATGGTAACAATAGTAAAATTAAAGAGAAAGATAATAAGAAAATGAAAATACTATAAAATGAAATGAATACATGAGATAGCAACTCTAAATAATTCTCTCAATCTCTACAAATACTTATACACAAACTAATGAACAATCAAGCCTATTTATCGGCTTCAAGATTAGAAAGAGAATTGAAAAAGACTATGAATCATTTAAAATGCATAAATAATTGAATAAATTGCATAACCATTTCGATTTCTCATATTGAATATTGAATTGAATCAAATAAATAGTGAGAATATAAAATGATCATGGACATTCATTATTTCATAACAAATTAAATATTTTAAAAAATTTAAAAATAAATGTAATGCAATTAAAAACTTAAAGATAGAAAAGATATTTTAGATATTATATAAGGAATGATTAATTTATTTACCCATAATAACATGAAAAAAAACAAAAAAACAAAATCCGATTTGATTACTCCCCTTCCAATAGGAACTGTTTATGTAGTACACGTCAGCAAAACAGAAGAGCCACGCACTGATCACGTGAGAGCAGGAGAGACGATTTCCACTAATTTATCGGCGTTGTTTTCCATTTCCTCGTTTCTTACCTTCCTTCCAAATCGCCGATCCACAGTTTTCTCCAGATTCCGACCAAACCCCGATTTTCCTCTGTCCACTCCCTGTTTCTAACAAGAATCAGATCCAGGTAAAAACAAAAGAAAATAAATAAATAAAACCTCTCTCTGACTTAGCTTTTAATTTTTATTTTGTTTCTTTTCATCTTTACTAGCTTACTTCCTTTACCACCCGTTTTTTTTCCTCTAGCTTTCGAGTTTCTGTATGAGTTTATTTTTGTTAAGTTAGTATATGTTACTTTGCAGTCTGTCAAATGTTGTTACTTAAAGTGATCTAACAGCGTTAATTGTATTGTATAAAGAAAAAATTAAAGTAACTACAACCAAGGAAATAGAAGAAGCTGTATTATCAAGATATTTACAAATTTGTTTACATGTCAAAGACTGGGATTTTATGCGATTTGCTGTGGTGCGGTATGATCTTTTTCTCACGCACTCAGTGGTTTAATATGCAGCATTAATTATAGAGTTTTTTGTTTTTTGTTTTTTGTTTTTTTTTGCAAGATTTTATGACTAGTAAAAGAAGGGAATTTTTCTTTATAGAGTTTTAAGTTTTCCTTTTCTTTCTGGAAAAAGAGAATGACAGGGTTAGAAATTTGAAAATTTGAAAGTTCAGATGAAAGTATACGTGAGAATATTGTGTTCGAGCTACCAAATTTGAGTTGAAGGTTTTTGCAGAGTCAGTTTTATAAATTTGCATACAGATTGTTTGCAGCTAAACAACCTTTTTGGACGATCAGCATTTCGTGTTTTATCAAACTTGATGTTATCTACTGCCAGTTGTACGAGTTACATCTGTAAATGCAAGGCCTTCAATTACTGTCAGTGGTGTTTGATTCCACTTCATCTGTTTTGCCTTGATAAGAATTACTTCTACTTGCCAAAGTTAATCCTCTCTGTCTCTTTCATTAGACAAAATTCTTTTCTTTTTCTATTGGAAGAGAGGGATTAAGTCCTGATGCATCTGCTTCCCCTTCTCTTCAATCATTTGATAACTATTCTTTGATCGTTGACTGTCTTATCTAGAGAGTACCATTTTCTTTAGCAATGATTGATGTTCTCTTTACTCAAATTTGATGCTTATTTGCCAAGGCAGTGTGACATCCTTTGTTGGATTACTCTGGATGGCAATATGCCCTCCTGTGTTTCTGTTCAAAATTTTATCGTGTCTTATCTAGAGGACCATTCATCTTATGCATTTTAGTCTACCTTAAATCTCTACCTTTTTAAATCACTTCTGAAAAATACCTGTAGTTCTGTTGCCTTGATTGTGGTTTATCCCGGTGTCGTTTTTTTCATCTAAATTTGATATTCTGATTTGTTTTAGTGGTGATGGTTCGTGGAAGGGATGCATGTTGGGAGCACTGTGTTCTTGTGGATGCCACGAGACAGAAGGTTAGATGCAATTATTGTCAGCGGGAGTTCAGTGGAGGAGTGTACCGAATGAAGTTTCATTTGGCTCAAATAAAGAACAAAGATATAGTACCCTGTGCAGAAGTTCCAAATGATGTGCGGGATCACATTCATGGTATATTAAGCACTCCCAAGAAGCAGAAAGCTCCCAAGAAACTGAAGGTGGAACGAGCAACCAATGCTCAACAAAATAGCTCTTCAGCTAGTGGTGGTGAACATCCTAACCATGGATCTAGCAGGCAAAACGGTAGCACCAGCCCCTCCTTGTTATTTCCACGTCCTTCACCCAGTGAACAGCCAGCAGTGGTTGATGCTCGAAAGAAAAAACAGGATGATGCTGATAAGAAAATTGCTGTGTTCTTCTTCCATAATTCTATTCCTTTTAGTGCCGCGAAATCCATATACTATCAGGAAATGATGGATGCGGTGGCAGAATGCGGAGTAGGTTATAGAGCTCCAAGTTATGAAAAGTTGAGATCTACCCTCCTGGAAAAAGTGAAAGATGACATACATGATTGTTACAAGAAATACAGAGATGAGTGGAAAGAAACAGGTTGTACAATCTTGTGTGATAGCTCGTCTGATGGTAGGGACAAATCAATTGTTGTATTTTCAGTTACGTGCCTGAAAGGGACGCTATTTTTGAAGTCAGTTGACATATCAGGTCATGGCGATGATGCTACTTATTTGTTTGAGTTGCTTGAGTCTATTGTCTTGGAAGTTGGTGTAGAAAATGTTATACAAGTAATAACAGATAGTGCAGCCAGTTACGTATATGCAGGGAGGCTTCTCATGTCCAAATACAACTCATTGTTTTGGTCGCCTTGTGCTTGTTATTGTATTGATAAGATGCTGGAGGATATTGGTAAACAAGAGTGGATGGGAGTGGTTTTGGAAGAGGCAAAGACCATCACACGCTATATGTATAGTCACGCATGGACTTTGAACATGATGAGAAAGTTCACTGGTGGAAGGGAATTGATCAGACCGAGAATTAGTAGATTTGTCAATAATTATCTCTCCTTGAGGGCCATTGTTATTCAGGAGGACAATCTAAAGCACATGTTTTCACATTCAGAATGGTTATCATCCATGCATTGTAGACGTCCTGAGGCTCAAGCTATTAAATCCTTGTTGTATCAAGATTGCTTTTGGAAATCTGCTCATGAAGCTGTGAGTGTGTCTGAACCTCTTATTAAAATCCTAAGGATTGTTGATGGGGACATGCCTGCAATGGGATATATATACGAGGGAATAGAGTGGGCAAAGGTTGCAATCAAGGCATACTATAAGGGTGTTGAAGAAAAATATATGCCAATTTGGGAGATCATTGATAGGAGATGGAGTATGCAGCTTCACTCCCCATTACAGGCAGCTGCGGCATTCCTTAACCCTTCAATTTTCTATAACCCCAATTTTAAGATTGATTTGAGGATGAGGAATGGGTTTCAAGATGCCATGATAAAGATGGCTACAACAGATCAAGATAAAATAGAAATCACTAAAGAACATCCGATATACATAAATGCACAAGGCGCTATTGGTACAGAATTCGCTATTATGGGAAGGACGCTGAATTCCCCAGGTATGTTTCAGTTGCAGTTATTATTAATCAATTCTTCTCGTGGGACTCTAAACTACTTTATAAAACGAAATATCCTCCTTACATTTGTTCCTCGGAAATGGAAACCGAAGCAAGGCAGTCCTCGTTGCAGATGAGGTTTCTATTGGTCGGGAAAGAAACATCAAGTGATCACAAGATAGTTTATCCATTAGAATAATATGTCAAAATATGATGAATCGACTTTAGATCTTGAACCTTTCCTTTGGGTGCCCTGTAAGCTCCTTTACCCTCAGTTGTTCCTCATATTTCAAGTGTCTTGACAAATGTGGTTCATTTTTCGCTTCCTTGAGATAATGTCATATTTCATTGTTTTATGTTGGTAGACAAGAATCTCAATCTCTCTTGTTTCATGATGCATGTTTAGGTGATTGGTGGGCTGGATATGGCTATGAAATTCCCACCCTGCAAAGAGTTGCAATAAGGATACTTAGCCAACCCTGTAGTTCCTACTGGTGCAGGTGGAATTGGAGCACCTTTGATAGCATACACGCCAAGAAACGCAACAGAGCGGAGGTTGAAAAATTCAATGATTTGCTTTTTGCGCACTGCAATCTTTGGTTACAAGCCATTACCCGAAGTCAGGATGGAAAATGTAAGCCTATTATCTATGATGCAATTGATGTTGGTTCAGAATGGCCTACCGAGTTGGAACCTTCGACGCCTCTCTTGGATGATTCTTGGTTGGACGATTTGCCCCTTGAATGTGGAGGCAGTCCTTGAACTTATGTATAAAAGAACGTAACTAGAATCATTGATTATATAACGTTGTCTCTAGAAGACCATACAATATGAAGAATGCAGAGCTTCCTTTCACCGTAAGGTATTTATGTGATAGAATAATGAACTTATATTTCTCTTCACTAGGGAGTCTGTAAATACCATTTCAGGCTGCCGTAGCGACCTATTCCTGGATTTTGTTTGTTGACTCGTGCCACTTGGGTTACTGAAGCACCAAATTCCAGAAAGTGCTACCTTGTTGAAAAGCACCATTAAACAATATGGTTGCGTTGGCATTAAGTCATTCAAAAAAATATCATATTGCTACTATAAGGTTAAAATTATCATATCTATAGCTTTAATATGTTCAGCAATAGCACTTATCAACTAAATTTATTATATTCAGATGTTGTTTAGTAATTAAGAATAGAGTAGTGGAATGAGAATGAAAGTTTTATTCTCATATTATAGTTATTTGGTTAAAAAAAATGAAATGGGAATGGAAATCAAAAGTGGGAATGGGAATGAAAATTTACATACAACTTTATTCCCATATAAGATGTGGGAATAAAAAATAAGGAATAAGAATGAATTTTTTTCAAAATAATAATATATTTTATTTATTTATTATCTATTAATTACTTTTATCACCACCATTGCTACTACCACCGTCACAACTATCGCAATCACTACCACCGTCATCACCACCACCACTTGTCATAACCAAAATCACCATCATCATCTTTATTATTTTTACAAGCATTATAGTTTTATAAAATTATTATTTTTAATTATTATTTTTATTTGTATAAAAAATCAGATATTAAAAAATTTAAATTGCATTCGATTCCTCATTAGTATTTTAAACACGGTATGAAAATACAAATACCATTTCGATTTCTTAATTTTCATTCCGATTCCCGCATTCTCATTCCCATCACTCTATTTCTAATTACCAAACAAGCACCTCGATACTTAATTTTCGGTAAATACCAAACAACTTATCAAAAATATATTCAATACTTAATTATTCAGTATTTAACAAATTCAATATTTAACTTTTAGTTTTATCAAACATCCCTTAAGTTTTTTGATGGCCTTCTTTGGTTATCACTTGTCATGTTGTGAAAACCAAAAGGCTTTCTTTCCGACATTCATTACAATCTTCTTTGGGCCATGGCTTAAGTACAAAATCCAAACAATGGAGATGGCTTTTTTTATATAAATAAAACCATGCAGTCTATAATCAATAATTAAATAGTTAAGAGATACGAAATTGTATTTCCATAATAGACTAAATTGACCATTACTGTAAAAATAAATGGCTATTTTGCTCTCTTTTTGTAATGAATTCTTTTTAAGTTCAAATACTCTAAAGAGAGGATTTGAATTTATGACTTTTCATAAGTATAAAGGTCATTTTCATTAAACTAGTAGATTAATCATCACTGCAAAGATTAAAGACTATTTTATCTTCTTTTTTTTTTATGTAATTAAGTTTCGTAAGCTCACTTTCATTAGACCAGAACTCGATATTAAATTACTTTCTCTTACATGTAGTCCATTTTTTTTTGGGTTTGTCAAATGATTTGATTTCCAAAAATCTTCAAAAGTCTCTTTAAACTTTCATACCATAGTAAAAATTTTAACAATATAGGTCCATTCTTAATCTTATGTTTTTATATTGTTTCTTATATTTATTCGATATGGGATAGCTTTTTGAATACTCTTTCTCACTTACAGTTCAAGCTTTGAAGTTTTTCAAGTAATTTGGGTTTTAAAATTTTAAATAGACCATTGGCCTTCTTTTAAGTTTTGATGCCATATTAAGTTTGATAACTAAGATTGAATTGCATCCAAAATACTTAACCATTATAATGGATGGTCATTTTTTAACCGTATATATTATTCATCAATTATTTATTTGTTCAACGTAGAATAGGTTCTTTGACACTTCATTTACTTTCGGGTGTTGTTTGGTAATCAAGAATAGAGTGGTAGGAATGAGAATGGAAGTTTATTCCCACATTGTAGTTATTTGGTTAAAAGGATTAAAGTGAGAATGAGAATAAAGAGTGAAAATGAGAATGAAA